TTTATTTCAATAAACCATACTTATTTGACCTCTAATTTTTATATTTCACTTTAATTTTTTTATAGTTAGTTATTACTTTTGAAAAAAAAAATTATGTAATTTTTTTTTAATTCCGAGAAAAAAAAAGTTTCGGAAAATTAGTCATTATTTTGTTACCGTAACTTCAGGGCCAATGAGAAAATACAATTAAACATACAACATTCCGTATCTTCTTCCAAACAATTAAACAAAAACATACACAATCAACAATGACAAAATACCACACAAGAAAAGCAAAAACAAAAACAAACACAATCAATCAATGAGAAAATCCCACCGAAAAAAACAAAATTTAAAAAATAGAGGACCCGTTGTGGGTCCACCATTTCATCTAGCCAAATTTGGCTTTTTTCACCCAATTGGAAGCTAAATTTGGCTCCCAATTCACCAATACCCATTTTTAGTTCCCCAAAATTATGTGGGTTGGAGCACAAAAAACGAGCTAAATATGGGTAAATGACTTTTTAGCTTTAGGGTTGGAGTTTGTCTTAGCAGTGCTTTAGAGTTGAATCCCAACTATACTTCAGTTCTTTGCTCTTTTCTCCAGTGTTTCTGCATTACCTCGTTAGGTGATGTGTTCTCTATAGTTTTTATTTTATTTAGAGGACATATTTCGTCTGTTGATATGACTTGAATCGGACTATCAGCCGCTACGACTGGTAATCGGGGGTCTCGCTAGATTGGATTAGGTTTAGACCCACATGGAGAAGTACTATGAATACTTCTCATACTCCTCTGTAATCTGTAATCTCCTTGATATAGTGAAATCGGCTCTCTCTCGCCCGTGGACGTAGCTAACACACATCGTGTTAGTGAACTACGTAAATCGTGTGTCGTGTTTTCGACTCTCGCTTTCGTATTCTTGCTTTGTCGATTCCGGCGATTTCTCGATCCGTAGCAGCGCGTTTATAACAAGTGGTATCAGAGACGCGGCTGGAAATCAGGCTAGGGTTTTCGATTCAGAAGAATGACGTCGGTGAACATGAAGATCGAAAAGTTCACGGGGAAGAACAGCTTCGCTATATGGCAGATCAAGATGCAGGCTTTACTAAAACAGCAAGGGCTGTGGGGGCCGCTGTCTGCGAAACAGAAGAAGGCAGCGGTCGATGACGATGAGTGGAATACCCTGGAGGAGAAGGCCCACTCGACCATCATGCTATCGTTGTCTGATGACGTCATCATTGAAGTCGCTGCTGAGAAGACTGCCGCGGGCTTGTGGTTGAAACTAGAGAGTCTGTACATGACTAAGTCTCTAACCAACAAGCTGCATCTCAAGCAACGGTTGTTCAGCTTGAGGATGCAAGAAGGTACGCCTTTGAGGGAACATCTCGAACAGCTTAACTCTATTTTGCTGGATCTGCGTAATATAGATGTTCAAGTTGATGACGAGGATGCTGCCCTAATCCTGCTGGTTTCTTTGCCGAGTTCATATGAGAATTTCGTTGATTCTTTTATTGCCGGTAAAGAAAGCGTGTCGTTGGAGGATGTCAGGTCTGCTCTTCATACGAGAGAGATCAGACATAAGGCGTCCGGATCTGGTACAGGTGGTGAGGCATCGGGTTTGGCTGTTACAGGTGGAAAGGGAAAGAAGAAATCTGGTAAAGGGAATTCGAACAAGAATTCCAAGGGTCCCGGTCCACAGCCAGGTGATGCTTGTCACAACTGTAAGGAAGTGGGGCATTGGAAGTACAACTGTCCCAAGAGAAGAGGGCAACAGAAGAAACAAGGTTCAGTTGCCGTGGCAGAAGTGGACAACAGTTCTGAAGACGATCTTGCCTTGGCTGTAGACGAGAAGGCACATCGTGGGGATGTGTGGTTTCTGGATACTGCAGCCTCATACCATATGTCTCCAAACAGGGATTGCTTCACAACCTATGAGCAGATAGATGGTGGTAACGTGGTCATGGCTAATGGAGCTGTCTGCAAGGTTGTTGGAATCGGGTCCATAAAGGTTCGGAGACATGATGGTTCGTTCTGTACCGTGAATGATGTCAGGCATGTTCCACGAATGACAAAGAACCTGATCTCCTTGAGTCTACTCGACAGCAAGGGTTTCAGCTTCAAAGGAAAAGGTGGAGTTGTGTATGTCTGCAAAGGTTCAAGGAAGGTGCTGAAGGGCGTGAAGCGTGAGACCTTGTATGCATTACAAGGGTCTGTGTTGTCTGGTTCTGCTGCTGTTGCATCGTCTTAGGTTCATCAGGAAGATATGACCACTCTCTGGCACATGAGATTGGGGCATATGAGTGAACGGGGGATGCAAGTTCTATCGAAGAGGGATCTTCTTTGCGGGCACAAGGTGCAGAATTTGGAATTCTGTGAGCATTGTGTGTTTGGGAAGCTACATCGCAGCAAGTTTCCCAAGAAGGGTATCCACCGGACGAAGGGGATACTGGATTACCTCCACTCGGACTGTTGGGGTCCTTCACGAGTTGAATCCATTGGAGGCAGCAGGTATTTTCTGTCTATTATTGATGATTATTCGAGATTTACTTGGTTTTTCATGATGAAGCAGAAAAGTGAGGCTTTCACGAAGTTCAAGCAGTGGAAGACATTGGTGGAGAATCAGAACGGGAAGAAGATCAAGAAGCTGCGAACGGACAATGGTCTGGAGTTCTGCAGTTCTGAGTTCAACGATTTCTGCAAGGATGAAGGGATTGCCCGTCATCGGACTGTTAAAGATACACCCCAGCAGAATGGCGTTGCAGAAAGGATGAACCAGACATTGTTGGAGAGAGCACGGTGCATGCTCTCTAATGCTGGACTAGAGAGAAGATTCTGGGCAGAAGCAGTAAACATGGCGTGCTTCCTGATCAACCGTGGACCACAGACAGGTATCGAGTGTAAGACTCCTTATGAAGTGTGGTATGGTAAGCCTGCTGATTACTCTTCACTGAAAGTGTTTGGGTGTCCTGTTTATTATCACGTGGATGAGGGTAAACTGAACTCAAGGGCAAAGAAGGGTGTGTTTGTGGGTTACGGAGATGGAGTTAAGGGATTTCGAGTCTGGTCACCTTCTGAGCATCGAGTTATACTTAGTAGAAATGTGATATTTGATGAGAAGTCTATGTTTAACCCCATGTTGAAGGTTACTGTTGCTGAAGGTAGCAGGAATGTTGATAAGCAGGTGGAGCTGCAAACTCTCAATGAGAGTGAGTTTGAGCACCAAGGTGGAGAAGATCAACATGATGAGGATGTCTCTGCAGAGCCAGAAAATTCAGAGTCCAGTGCACGAGCTCAACAGTCTATGGCTTTCGGTAGACCGAAGAGAGCGACTGCAGGAGTACCTCCACAGAGGTATGGCTTCGAGGACATGGTGGCGTATTCATTTCAGGTTGCTGAGGAAGTGGATGCAGGAGAGCCACAGTCCTATAAAGAAGCAGTTTCGGGTGGTGAAGCTGATCAGTGGCTTGCCGCAATGGGAGATGAGATGGAATCCCATGACAGGAATCAGACTTGGGAGCTAGTCAAACGACCACAGGGAAGGAAGATTGTTACAAACAAGTGGATCTACAAGAAGAAGGAAGGAATCACTTCTAAAGAGGGCATGAAATTTAAAGCTCGGGTGGTTGCACGAGGCTTCTCGCAGAGGGAAGGAGTTGACTACAATGAGATTTTCTCACCAGTGGTCAGACAATACTTCGATCAGAGTGCTACTAGCAATAGTGGCACATTATGACTTGGAGCTCGAGCAGCTAGACGTGAAGACAGCTTTCCTGCATGGAGAGTTGGAAGAAGAAATTTACATGACTCAGCCAGAAGGATTCGAGGTTCCGGGAAAAGAAGACTATGTTTGTAAGCTGAAGAAGTCCTTGTATGGACTTAAGCAATCTCCGAGGCAGTGGTACAATAGATTTGACAGTTACATGCTTGAGCTGGGCTACAACAGAAGTCCATATGATAGTTGTGTATATCACAGCAAGGCAGAGGATGGTTCGATGGTATATCTAGTTCTATATGTGGATGATATGCTCATAGCTGCGAGGTCAAAGTCTGATATCCAGAAGTTAAAGGGGCTTCTCAGTGCTGAGTTTGAGATGAAGGATTTGGGAGCTGCTCAGAAGATCTTGGGTATGGAGATTTACAGGGACAGGTCGAAGAAGAAGCTTTTCTTGTCACAGAAGAGCTACATCCAGAAGATACTGTCGAGGTTTGGCATGTCTTCAGCAAAGCCCTTAAATACTCTTAATTTTTCAAATGTTCATCTATCCTCGGCCTATGCACCGCAGTCAGAGGCTGAGAAGGAGTACATGTCGAGAGTCTCATATGCTAGTGTAGTAGGTAGCTTGATGTACGCTATGGTATGCACTAGACCTGATCTTGCACATGCTGTTAGTGTTGTCAGCAGGTTTATGATACAACCTGGGAAGGAGCATTAGCAGGCTGTGAAGAGGATCTTCCGGTACCTTAAGGGTACACCTGATGTAGGGATTAGCTTCGGAAGTGATACAGAGTGCTTGGTGTCTGTAACCGTTTCCTTTGCTAGATTGGATTAGGTTTAGACCCCAATGGAGAAGTACTATAAATACTTCTCATACTTCTCTGTAATCTGTAATCTCCTTGATATAGTGAAATCGGCTCTCTCTCGCCCGTGGACGTAGCTAACACACATCGTGTTAGTGAACCACGTAAATCGTGTGTCGTGTTTTCGATTCTCGCTTTCGTATTCTCGCTTTGTCGATTCCGGCGATTTTCCGATCCGTAGCAGCGCGTTTATAACATCGTCCTTTTTATAAAATTATGTAATGTTAATATGACATGATCCACTGAATTTTTCTAACGTATTTTTATGCTTCTCAACCACGTATTCTTATGGACTCTCTTCTTTCTCTATTAAAGATTGGTAATTCTTGCGTAATCTTTTGAAATTTGGACTTCATATTTAATTCTCACAACGCACGATAGAAATTAGCGAGTATGTCATTGCCAGTCTTAATATATCCCTACAAATCAGTCCTAGAGTAGAGCTGTTTATTTATGTGTTCGGCGACAGCTTAAGCAAACAAAGAGGCATAGAAGCTTTCGGGGTAATTAGTGGACTGAATATAATTGGTCAATTTAACATTTTACTTATGGTATTGATTCTCCTTTTCTCCTGCAATACCATCATGTCGCGTCACAATCAGTAGCACCCCCTAAATGGCAAAGCCAACACGCAGAAAATAAATGAAGAAGCACGCTATATATCTTCTCTACCATTATACATCTTTTATAGTGCATCAACGTAACTTCTTTTCACCAAGATGGCATAAAAGAGAAAATTCTTCTTGATCACCCTTGGGAACGAACATTGTTGGCAGCAGCGCGACATCCAAGTCCAGAAGCCAATTGGGGAATCAGAAAGTCGGACATTAGCCGGTAAGCATGGTCCGTGAAATGGGTGCCATCCCAATCTATATAATCGCTAGGGTTTCCGCAGTATGGTGCCCCAGGCATCCCACACCCAATGGAAGAATTCCCGCAGCATCTGCCGTTGGGATGGTGGATCCCTGCAGAAAAAGGAAAAAAAAAAAAAAACATGCATCTCATCAATCTCATAGCTGATCATCACAAACAATTCATTGAATTCACGTTACAAGTATGCCTCACTCACCTGCTGAACCGAAATGGTCGAAAAGCCACTGCGTTGCCCTCCACATGTCCCCGTAAACAATTTCCACGTCGGGGAACTTAATCCGTAGCCTCTCGAGCTCCCGTTTAAGCAGCCGGTTGTGAAGCGCGGCGACCGAAATTAGGGTTTCGTCGCACTGAACTTGGGTGGCATGGAAGAAGCCTCCAGTACTCACCCTGCATCCAGCTTTCAGGATTCCGGGCACGACCACCTTCCTGGCTCCATACTCAGTTATGAGCGTCTGCATGTCAACCAAAATGAATGACTTAAACAAAGTTTTATTTCTGCCACGATATGTATATACATATACAAATGAAATGATAAACAACCCACCTTCACATAAGCCCGAGTAGCTGCCAAGAGAGCGGGCATGATCCGCTTCATTTGGACGTCCCGAGGGAGAGAGCTGAAGCTGAGGTTCATATTCAGGTAGTCGTTGCCGGCTCCACCAAGAACGAACAGTGATGATTCCACGTGTTCCCGACGAGCTGCACAAAACAAAAAAAATATTTGTGTAAATTTCTCAGCCATCCTACATTTCACCGGAGTTTCGGAACAATAATAAAGGAAAAAAGCAGTGTTATTAAAGTCGAGCCGAGCCGTTCGGTCCGACCTGTAATCCGATCATAAAACCGGCTCGGAACAGTCTAAAAGCCGTTCCGGTTTTATGTAGCGGTTGAAGAGCGGCCGAGGCGGTTAACCATTCGAGCCGATTGAGCCGCTCGTCCGGTTTTTGCCACTCAGCCACTGAATTTAATTAAAAAAATTGCAGAAAATTGAAAATTGAGATAAACAAAAAACGTCGACCTCTTAAAATGAATCCTTATTTCCATTTCACAATTTCGAAAGAAAGAGATGAGCTCTGATTAAGAAATGTCCACTATTTATACTGATAATGTTTATTAGGTACCGATTCTTTAACGGTTTATAAAGAGTCTAATGACGGTTGGACCACTAAAGTGCGAGCCGTTCGCATTATCGGGTCATGCTCCTGTTCGGTTCTGACAACATTGAAAAAAAGCTCACCGGTTTGATTTCTGTAGGCCTGGTTGAGGTGCCGGTCGAACCACTTGAGCTGGATGTCCACGCTGCTATTGGAGAAGGGCAACTTGACGTGCCATTTGGCTCGGGCTTCCTTGGACAAAAGCCCCACTCCTCCCACCGCGAAGTTGGTTCCTTTCGAGTGATCCATATTTCTCTTCAAATACGGGTTCAAGGGAGGAACCCCGGCCGCCTCGGCTATGCGGTCGATAATGGTATAGCCATCGGTGAAGCGACCGGTAGCACGATGGATGGTGACGCCGTAAGGGAATTTACCCATGGGCCCCTGAGGGGACTCGGCCAGGGCGTTCCCGCTATCGTACATGGAGTCTCCGAAACAGTAGATGGCGGTGAAACCACAATGCTCCAGAAGCTTGCCTCTTCCATCGGGTTCTGCTTGGCCCATAGGACAAGGAACCACAAGTAGAAGAGAGGAAACGAAAAGCATGCAGCTCGCTGCGGTTAAGGATTTCATTTTGAAGGACAAAAAAGGAGAAGATGGAATATATATGTGGAGGAAGAAAGAGGAGTTGTGAGCTTGGAAGGAGAAGACATGAATGGTGGAAAGATGTATAGAGCTTTTTAGATACATATATATGTGAAGGAAACTGGTGATGATCGTAACAGATGACATCTCTTGCAAACCACCATTGGTTGGAAGACACAGTTTCTTTATTGTTGTTTGTTGCCGATTATATTACTCCCTCAAAAGCTATTTCTGTGAGTTGTTGTACGTGTTTTCGTTAGAGTTTCTATAAGGAATTAGGAAAGGCAAACAAAGTTGGTTCATTAGGGTGGAAAAGAGGTTTCTCTTTATACCATCTTGGTGAAAAGAAGTTAATGCATTGGAAGGATATCTTGGAAGGATATCTAATGGTAGAGAAAGAGAAGATAACTTGTTTCATCATTTCTGTTCTGTATGCTAGCTTGGGGTTGGGGTTTAAACCGTAAAAGAGAGAAGAAAAACAACTTTATTGATATTTAGGGTAGTGATTGTGACTCGACACGATGGTATTGGTTTCCCCACCACTGCAAATCATACCAACTAAGAGAAGCTAAATACGGATTATTAGAGTTTTTTCCAATAATAGCACCTTTAAAAAAAAAAATTATAAAACTAGCACTCTTCCAAAACTAATTACAAAACTAGCACCTATTTTAATGGAACGCACCTTAGAGGTGCGTTTTATATATGAAACGCAGCCTTAGAATGCGTTTCCTTCATAAATCGCATCCCTAAGATGCGATTTCTATGGCAAAACGCATCCCCAAGATGCGTTCCAACTTTGGTCGCCAGCGACCTTCTGGATCGCACGATTACGATGCGATCTGACGGGCTGCAGCATAGCCACGTCAGCAATCCGCGCGACTAAGTGTGGATCGCACTGGTGAGGTGCGATTTCTCGCCTGGAAAATTGGAGCGTCAGTTTTCTGCGCGTTCAACGCATCGGGACGCGGGGATCGCATCAGGGGAATGCGATTTGGTGTGGAGATCGCCCCGGAGAGATGCGATTTCTACGGGGTAAAATTACCCTACCGCCCCTGAGGGGTGCGATCTGTTGGGTATAAATACCCCCCCTCCCCCTCTCATCTCTTCACTCCACACAACCCATTCTCCTTCTCTCTCTAGATATAATCTCTCTAAACCCTCCCCTCCCAAAAGCCTAGGAAATAAGAGTCTGTTGGTTGCGGCTAAGTCCGATCTGCCATCAGAAACTATTTCTTAGGTTTTTTCCTCAAAAACCCGCCGAGCCCAGCCGAAGCTCTGTCCGAATTACGCCGAAAAAATGGCCGATTGGTGGCAAAGAGAAGGAGTTTATGTCGATGAATTTCAAGCGGTATGTATTCATTATTCTGGTTTAATTTTTATTGTTGTTATAAGTTTTTTAATTAATCTATGTACTAATGACCCAGTTGTTATTTTCTCGTAGGTTGGGGAGGACGTCGATATATACAACCAACGGTATTATCTCAGCAAGGACCGGTGGATTCAACCGACTTGTACGACCAACCCAACCATCGGTCAAGGGATGTTTGGAACGATCACCCGGTACATACAATTCTTCACCATTTGTCCTTCTTTTATTTTGTTAATGTGCCTAGTGTAATATAAAATAAATTTATGTTTATTTTTTAATCGTGTTGGTGGTTTTCAATAATTTAATTGAATACATAGCGCCACTTACTTCGACTCTTTATAAAGAGATGCACGTCTAAGGAAATGGGGTTTTAAGCGATTATCATATCCTCCCATTACCTGGGAAAATCGGGTATTAAGAGATCCTCGGATCCCCCCTTTTTCTGTCAAAAAGACTGCGTTTCTAAGAAGATGTATACCTCTTCTAAGAGTCTAACGAGTGTTGCTTTGTATTCGATTAAATTATTTAAAACAACTAATACGATTAAATTATTTACCAAACATTTGAAGATGTATGTTTCTACTTAAATTATTATTCATTAACAATGTTATTTATGTTAATTAATTTAGTATGTTTGTTTTACGATAATATGTATATACCTCTTTAAAACAACTAATACGATAAAATTATTTACACAAACATTTGAATATGTATGTTTCTACTTAAATTATTATTCATCAACAATGTTATTTATGTTAATTAATTCAGTATGTTTGTCTTCCGTTTGAAATGATGGTTCCAGTTGCTTTTGAAGTGTCGTATGCACCACCTTTGGGACCAATTCCAGGCTGGATCCAGGCCTAAGATGGCTGCTCTAATGCCGGCGTGCCGATCAGAGATTATTGTCAGGTTCGTCCTCTTGGTGACGTGGATTTGGATTTGTCGGAAAAACCATCCATAGCTATCAGCATTCTCTACCTCAACAATGGCGAAGGCTAAAGGAAAGACTTGTCTGTTTCCATCCGCCCCACTGGCAATCAGGAGAGTGCCCTTGTACTTGCCGGTAAGGAATGTACCATCCACAGTAATCACAGGGATACAAAAGCCAAAACCATCAATAGAAGGCTTGAATGCCCAAAATAGTCTGCGAAAATGGCGTTCGTTACCTGCCTCTGGGGGTTGTATCTCTTCATCTTGGTATCGAGGGGAGAACACAGTCCCAGGGTTAGACGCCTCCAATGCCAGTATTAGTCTGGGAAGGAATGCATATGATTCTTCCCAATCACCATAGACGGCGGCCATAGCTTTCTGCTTTCCATGCCACGCCTTCTTATAGTTTATCATATAACCAAAACGGCTTGCAATGTCAGCGATTATGACTTTCACCTTCAGATCCGGTTCAGCCTCAATCAGATGCTTGATAGCCGCAGCAACCACCCTGGATTTCAACTGTCGATGGCCTTGGGAAGTTATGGATGACACACATGTGTGTGTGTTGACCGCACGGGATATGACCCAGTGGCCGTGTCTCTTGCTGTTGATGGCCCGAATCCTAACATTGCACCCCTCGTGATGATTACGGCATCTGACTATGAGCCTTTTGGTGTTGGAATGAGTTGTGTCCCATTCAAAATGCCGAGTCATTGCTTCAGTCTCAAGGGCGTGCCGCACATCCTTCTTCGAGCCAAATTGTTGGCCCTTCGTAAACCCAGTGAGTGGGCCCCATATTGGGACCTCTGGCGGCTCCATGTCGCTGTCGACCATCCAATTTTCGTCTGGAATGTGATTGTAGTAGGGGACTGGTACACGGTTAGGAGCCACATCATGGTCATTATCTGAATCCGAATCTGGTGCTGAATCATCAGCACCTTCAAGAGGGTCTGAGCTGTCTACACTGACGTTGTTCTCTCCTTCTTCATCAGAGGGGTCGCTGACTGGTCCTGGTGTGGCAGCCTCCGTCTGATCCTGCTCATGAAAGGCACCTTCATCAGCTCCATAATGGTAGTTGTGAAAACTACCGCTGCCTGTCAGGAAGTTGTACTGTGCTTGGTTGGGGATGTCCGGTTGAACTTCTTCTTCATATGACGAGAAAGATTGATGATGACCAGCACCTTGCCCTCCATCTTGGTACTGCAAATAGGAATGAGGATCATGGTAACTTTGGTAGGGATGATCGTCATATAATTCACCTCCACCATGGATACCAGATGTTTGACCGTGTCCAGAATGACCTCCACGACCAACGGCTCGCTCGGTGTAAACGAACATCTCGGCTTTGGCCAATTTGTTGGACCTCAAGAATTCGAGCATGGAATCTACGTCATCTTGAGTGGTTATGGTATATTCCTCATGCCACAATGACCCAGTTGCTCTGTTTGGGTATCGGTACACCATACGATCTACCCTCCTCGTGCCATCCATGCAAGTAACGTCAGTGCATATTTGATGGAGGTCTTCAAGCTTCGGTCTGGTACCGACCGTTATTTTCTGAAAATTGCCACCGACGTAGGTGGCCCCCTTTCCGGTGTCTTCCGTGTAACCATTCCACCGTAAGCCAAGCGTTAACTGACGGAATGCCATCTGCACACAAACAAACCGTAGTTTAGTTAATATCATAAAAATCACAAATCACAAATAACAATAAAAAGTAACACAAAATAAACTTACGAGTTAATCTTAATGGCATAAAAAGTAACACAAAATAAACTTACGAGTTAATCTTAATGGCATAAAAAGTAACACAAAATAAACTTACGAGTTAATCTTAATGGCAAACACACTAAATAAATATAGATATACAACATAAAAATGAAAGAGAGAATGATGAGAGGTGTGAAGAGTAGAGGTTTTCCGGCAAGTCTTATATAGGGGAAAAAATTGTGAAAACCGCACCTCTAGGGTGCGGTTTTAGTCTGCCATGCAGCCCTACGTCCATAATTCTCTGCATGGCTGTGTCGGGTGTCGGAAAATAATTGACACGTAAACCGCATCTGGGGGGTGCGATCTACATGGTGAAACCGCACCTTACAGATGCGGTTCATGATTGGAGGAATAAATCGCATCACTAAGGTGCGGTTTAGGTAGGTCAGGCCTAAACCGCACCTCGGCCATGCGTTTCATGTAGGCCAGACATGAAATCGCATGGCCAAGGTGTGATTTAGGCCCACCAGATTAGAACGCACCCTCCAGGTGCGGTTTACTAATAAAACGCACCTGGGGGATGCGGTTTATTGGTAAATCGCATCAGGAGGGTGCGGTCAATAAAAAAGGGTGCTAGTTTTGTAAATATTTTTGAGAGGGTGCTAGTTTTGTAATTTTTTTTTAAAGGTGCTATTTCTGGAAAAATCTCGGATTATTATGATGAAGAATCCTAATTAATGAGATATTGCACGATCATTTTCTTTAGAACATTCGTTGGTTACCCACCAATCATGATTCATTAATCGAGTACAAAAGTTGTTAGAAGAAGGCAATTACGAGCAACCCAATAAGTTTCTTTGTTCAGTTACGGCCAATTAAGGAAGAACTGAATCCTACATTCCAAATATCCAATCTTTAGAGAATGATTGATTGGACCCTTTTCAAATTCCACTACTCGTTATTACAAATATGTAGTGTTTTTATTGCTGAAAGAGATCTTATTACGAAATGTTGAGACTATTCATGTGAGGTAAAAAAGTAAAAACAAATTAATTAGTGGGGAATTCTGTGGTACAGGCACTGTACCAGTGCCGCCACTTTTTTCTAACCGGTTGGAATGGTTGAATTTGTAAATTATTGGGTGACTCTGGTTTGGTAATTCAATTAATAAAACATAAATAAATAAAAAAGTGAGACAAAAAAAAAAAAACCAAAAACAGCACAACTGTTCCCTTCCACTCCTTTGTCCTTCCTTTGTAAACCAAGCCAAGACTTCTCTCGCAGCAATCCACCACCTCGCTATTGTCGTCGATCGACCTCACCACCAAAATCACCACCGTCGTCAGGTCCGTATCTGCCTTCTGGTCATCGCCGCCCTTCGTTTCTGCCGCGACACCCTCGAAATCGCCATCGTCATCAAGGCTCCCCTCCCCCCGATTCAATTTCCCCATCCATGGCTACTCAAATCATAGACCACCTTCAGAGCGTCATCATATCCGTCCTGGTTGCCCGGTCATTTCCAACAACGTCCCTACCGTGGCAATCGAACATCATCATCGCAGTTGCAGCTGTTCAGCCAGCAGCACGAAGATCGCCGATTGAGTCGAAATACCCATCGTTAGCAGGGGCAATGAAGAGATACGTAACCTAAAATCCGCTTTCAGCTTGTATGAGATAAGTCTTTAGTGTCTTTCTGATTTGGGTATTGTTGGATAATTCCTGTAGGCGTTAGATTGTGGAGATTGGGTGAACCAACATAATTTGTATTTGGATGGTTTCAAATCTTAGTGTACTTATCATAAATCCCTTCCCAAATCTTCTACTTACTTTTTATTTTTGTGGTTGGTTGCCGTGGATAACAAACCCCAACAGAGCTAGAACTCCTCCCTTATCTCAACTAGTTACAGGTTCCTATATATATTTTGGTTTGTATTGGTATATGTAGTAGGCTTTTCAAACAAAGAGAAACATCATTTGGTGCAATGGAAGGGTTCGTTCTTTGTTTCTCTGAGCTGGTTATTTGCTTAATGAACTACAGAAGCAACAAATTAGTAAATTCCAAAAGCCAATCACACATTCACACATGCAAATTGTCAGTGGGAAGCTCAGCAAAAAGCATGCGTTGGCCAAAGCAAAGGTCAAAAGAGCATACTGACAAAATCACAACACTATTAGAAACATCACAATCTTTCACTAGCTAATTATTATGAACTTATTTATTACTATGACAAGCTTGCTGCAATAAGGATAATCAAACCTCTTTGTTAGCAAGTGAGCAGCCTTAAGTCAAAACTTGTCTCTGTCACTCTTCCACTAATCAGGTACTAATTGAGATGCATCTAGTGATCAATTACTTCAATACTCAAAAGGTTATCGAAGAACATTGGTAAGGATGAACTATGTTGGACAAGAAGTGCCAATGGAAGGTATACTGTGCAATCTGGATACTTTTCGGAACTTCAAAGGCAGGCCGACCAAAATAATATGAATCAGCAGGAGAGGGATGATGATGGAGTGAATTGGAAGATTATCTGAAACTCAATCCTATTCATACAGATCAAGCCGGGTTCAAACACCAATAACATTAATCATCCGAATTCACACATTACAGTTAACTCCAAAATAGAGGAGTAATCAGAGAGACAATGCTGAAGAAGCAATAAGAATAGAACAAACCTGAACTTGATTTCAATTTCAGCTACGAAGAAGTGCAGCAAAAAGAAAGATGTTGGCCCAAGCGTAGCTATAAAGAGGGATTCCGGAGAAAAACAGTAGCCAGAGTAGAATTCTTTCCGGTGGATTTTTGGAGAACACGACGTTGCGGTGCCAGATTATAGGAGTTGATTCATCAGATGAGGCGAAGAACATGACCTTTATGACTGAAATGGCCAATTCTAATAGCGGCGTTGACGTTCAGATTACCGTCGGCGATCAAGAGAGCCCGCCGATAGCGGCGTTGACGTGCAGAGCCGACAATCAAGAGAGCCCGCCGATAGCGACGTTGACGTGCAGATTACCGTCGGCAATCAAGAGAGGCCGTCGACAATCAAGAGAGTCCGCCGATAACTCCCCATTCGTTTTCCTGGTAGAACTGTTCGTAGCAGGTTTTTTTTAAAAAAAAAAAACTGTTCGCATGATTTTCATGGAAAGAGAAGCATCGAATAATAAATTAACATTTTTTGATGACAAATATACGCACCGTTTTGGTCCCGATCAGTAATAAACGTATAATAATTACATAAATGAATTAAATATAACTAGGTTCAACCAGAGGTTCAACCTAATCTGGTTACATGATTATTTATTATGGACGGTCCTCATTTAATAGCTTCAATCCCGCGGCTGAAAGAGTGGCGGCACTCATGCAGTGCCTGCACCACAGAAAGCGTCTTAATTAGTATATATAAAGCAGAAGTTTGGTTACTGTTGCTAAAAAATTTACATTTTGATACCCCAAATTTAATTAAATCACAACTTAGTCACTATAATGGACATTTTAAATTTTTATACCCCAAATTTAATTTTAATGTAAAATCATTAAATTGTTGCCTAAATTAGTATATTTTGATATCCCAAATTTAATTAAATCACAACTTAGTCACTATAATGTACATTTTACATTTTTGATACCCCAAATTTAATTTTAATGTAAAATCATTGAACAATTATGTTTTGGTATCTCATTAGTACATTTACGGGGTACTAAACAAACTTCTACTAACTACCTGTAACAAAATATGCGACATCTACATAAACAAGTGTCAATAAAATTGCTACGGTGAAATGGTTGACTGTTGTATTGACGGCCAACTAAAAGAATCGGACAAAACCTTTCCATCATCTACTTCCTCTTCGTTTCATTTTTCACTCGCCTTCCATAACCCTTTCTCTATTTCTTTCTTTGCCTTATTCGTCTAACCCTAATTGGGATTATCACCCGTAAAATTGAGCACCTAAATCTTTTGTCTATTACATTTTGGTACCTAAACTTTTGAATTTCTACAAATAGGTCTTATTTTTGTACGTGTAATTAAAACACCCTCGAATAGATGGTATACATAGCCAACTCATACATATTTAGATTATGGAAATAAATATCCATATCCTACCCAAACCCATCTACAAACTTCCAACCTCATATCTATGTCACCCATACTCTGCCCATGATCAATAGGTCTACTTGGGTTTAGGTAAATATAATTTACTAGCCAAAATTTTCTAACAAAAATTAAATTGGATGTTGACCACCATATATCTCTTCTCAGTCAATTTACTAACAAAATTCCTAACAAAAAATTAATTTTAGACTAGTAATACTAACAAAACACCATAACGGGCCACATAATACATGCCCATAGATCATCTCCGCCCGCGACAAGGAGCGGCATCTCCACCTAATTATCCTAAAAGCTTCTTCCTCTTTGTTTGTGTATGCTAAATGCTAATTGCCCTAATACTTATATAAACTTCTCCCCATACTGTGGGATTGATTTGGAGGGATACAATGATATATACAAGCCTTGGTTCCAAGTTTAATATTCATTAAGTGGTTTTTTCTGTGAACTTCAGGTGCATACATTCAACAAGCCAAATATATTGCATCCTTAACCTCTTTTATTTTATTTCGAGATGCCAAATAGTTTTTTCATTTCTCCTTTTTTTTGTTTCATTGATTTTAGTCACATGTGGGATCCTTTAAATGGTACCTTTTTTATTTCTTTTATTTTTTCTATATAAATTGATATTTTTTTAGTATTTTCTTTTGTATCGTTACTCATTTGTCTCCCTCATACTCGAATAGGAAGACAATGAAAAAATCTCTCACCCCAATCGAAGATGACAAAAGTGGCATTGAAACTGATGGAACCATACGTTATGTTTTCCGGTCTTTTTTCTCTGCTTTGTTATTTTTTCAATGTTCTTTATTTTTCTTCTCTTTTACATCTCAAATTAGAGTCTTGGATTAATTCTAAGTTCTTTTTTTCTTAGTTTCTTGGGCTGAAAAGACGAATGATCAATGATATATTTTTTCCATTTAAGACGTAGAAACTTGGTCAATTCTCTAACTAATATTTGTCGAACTCGAAATTTAACATATTATTACTCAAATATGCAAATCGTCCTCTTCTAATCCATAACATTGTTGGCCATCAAGTGCATATTGTTATAGAGTTATCCTACAATATTTTAGTAATTTTTTGCTGGTTCCATGCTTTACGGTGAGTTGTCATAGGAATGAAGATTTGTCGATTAACTAGTCTTGATAAAAATTATGTTTTAATATGAGGTTGGTGTCTTTAGACATTAAAATAAATCTTTCAAGTTTATTAACCTTTGAGATATCACTATAATTTTGTATTCAATGGCAAAGTTAATTAATTTATGGATCCTTTGGTAGAAAACTTGAATAGTGATGACATCTATCCAAATGACCTTGTTTGGTGTAAATATATCCTAGAAATCATAACTTGACTAAAGTGACATAGAGGCTCCAAACTTATCCTTAGATTAATAGACCTCTCCTGAAATTATCAGAATGGTGACTAATTACTGATGCACTGCTTTATGCACCACATACTTTTTTCACCAACGTTTTGTTCTTCCACAACTTGATGCTTCTTGTTGGCCATTTTTGTAGTTTGGTACAAAGGCATGCTTAATTGACTCTCTGGATGATAAACAACAGTTGAAGTTATGGAAATGTCATCAACAAATAAATCAACCATATGAAAGATAGATAACTTATGATTTCGTAGTTGTTCGTTTAAACGACTAATTACAAGTTACTTACCGTTTCTCTATAGGTCAAAGCTTTAATTGCAAGAATGTGATCCAGACTCATGCAATTACAAGTTACTTACCGGTTTTAGACTAATATGGATAATAAGCACTTGGTAGTATCCATTATATCTTTTCTTTTTTGTTTGGGTTATAGGTATAATATGCCTCTCTACTATGACGCTTTATGAAACATGTCCCTCTACTATTTTTTACATCAAACATGCCCCTGTATTTTGTAAAAATGATCAAACATGCCCTTTTGTTAAAATTTTCATCCAAAAACCGTTAACCAAGGCCGAACTTTAGTTTGGGCGACACAAATAACTAAAATATCCCTAATAAATTCACTTTAGAATTTTTTTGGTTCTTTTGTATAATCAAATAATTCAAATAATTTCACTTTGAAAAGACACAGGGAAATAAAAAAAGAACAAAACTGATATTTTTCCTCCCATTTGCCGATGTCGGGTCTTCTAAATCTCGGTTCAACCACGATTGACGATTTTTTCAATGAAAATTTTAACAGAAGGGCATGTTTGATAATTATTTCAAAGTACATTGGCATATTTGATGTAAAAAATAGTAAAGGGGCAATGTTTGATAAAACGTCATAATAAAGAGACATATTATACCTATAACCCTTTTTGTTTTTGACTATCATTTGTGGACACATGTTATGTCTTCTTTTCAGATCCCGTGTATGCTTTGCAAGAAGCTATATAAATTTATGACTCGACTTTGATGGGGGATCAATGAGGGGGGAGGAGGCTTTCATTGGGTTTCTTGGCAATTTTTATGTCAATGTAAACATGATGGTGCCTGAGGGGATTGAATTTTATTTTTTAGAGATTTGAGGAATTAATAGGACCTTTTTGGTCAAAATTGAATGGAGGATCCTCAAAAAGCCAAATTCTTTACTAGCACGTCTCATAAAGGAAAGTAATTTCCTCATGTGACACTTTTTATGACGACTACATGGTCGAAGACGACATGGAGTTGGCAAAGTGCGTTCTTTGGTCGCTAGTTTCTTCAGGAAGGCCCTGGTGGAAAGTGAGAGATGGCGAGTGTTTTGATTTTCTTGTAGATAATTGGGTACCGCTGAGCCCGAAAAGAAAATAGAATAGATCTAAATGAGTTGAAAAGCAATATTTTTTTTAGTCTAAGCAAATCCCCTATATGCTGAAAGATGCGTTGGGGTGAGGTGTTTGCCTTAGTTGATTGACCCAACAAAGAGGAATTGGTGTGAGGATTGAAACTGGAGTCTATGCTGATCAGCTAGCGATTACTACTTGAACGGGTATGCAGAAAGCTAAAAGGCATTCCGTTTTGAATTACTTAAAAAGTTATAGGATCAAACAATTACTATATTTTATATATTTATTTTGATGTCATTAAATGATAAAAGAAAAATGGGTAAATTGTAGGAACTAGGGAGTAGAGTGCTATATATAATCAAATTTTGGCAAACCCTACTTCATTCTCCCCACATGACTCCTTCCTCTCCTTTCCGTCTCCCTCTTTCTTTCTTCTTCTTCCTTGCTGCCCCTTTAATTTCCCATCTTAAATTATTAATATACCCCTACAAATAAATCAATCCTAGAGTAGAGAGGTTTATTCATGTATTAGGTTAAGAGAAGCTTTTGAGGGTAATTAATGGCCTCAATTTGTGTTCTTTTACTTCACATGATTAGTCTTGACATTTTATAATAATATCTCTTTTAAAAAATAATAAACAAAAAAACACAACATTTTGCAATAAAGAGCACTAGAATTTGAAATAGGGCCCAATTGGTTTCACAATCAATAGCACCCGCCCTAAATAGGGGTTAATTGCATGCCATACCACTTAAGTTTTGGCTTGGTTGCATGTTAACCACTTAAATTTGTTTAGTTGCAACTAAAACACTTAAGTTTAATTTTCGTTGCACCGTCACCTTTTCCATCCAAAAACTTAACGGAAGGTATGAAAAAGTAATTTTACATGCCACATCCACATTCCAGCTCTGTTTTGGATTGTTGACTCACAGAAGCTAACCTAAATTTGAAGGAAAATCTAAAAAAATGAAAACTCAGTCGCAAAAGCAAAGTACTTCACATAATATCATGCTCATTTAACAATGGTAAAATTGAAAGCTAGGGCTAGGTCAGCAGAGCAAAATCGAAAAATCAATCGTAAATCGGCAAAGAAAGTACGCTAGTGCTGGGTTTCTTAGTTGGATCCTTCTATCTGAATCTCCCGTCCTCTCGCCCATCACGATTCAGGAACAGAAGCGGACCTTTGGAATTGGAAAGAAAGAAAAGCGGGAAGAGAAGTAGTTGGTCGGCGCTGCTACGTTCGGAGCAGCCCCACCAGACACCGCCGTCGTGGCCTCCGCCAGTCTCCTACTTCTGGGCTCTCCCTCAACTCATCATTTCAGCGCATTTCTCTTTTGACGGTACCAACGTTTGCTCGCAAGTCTAGGGTTTAGGAATTTCCTACCCACCAATCATTTCCGATCCTCCATTTTCGTGCTGCGTAGTTGTTCTGGTTATGGAGAATTAGGGCAGGACAAATGGACAATGGAGGGTTTTAAGTACTGGCCTTGCTACCACATTTTTTGTTCGATTATTTAACAATGTTCGTTTGGCATAATCTATATCAAGTAATAGTGCTTGCTGTTTGTTACTTGCTTTCAATTTCAGAAAGCATTTCCCTCTCTTCGATCCTGCTTTGCTTAAGTAATATTAGTTTGTGCATCTTCCGACTAAGTACTCTAGCGTTCGATGTGTGGTTCATTTGGCATTCGTTATTGCATACTTGCATTGCAGTTCCCTGTTCGTAAAAAAACAGGTTTCGTCCATGGATCCAGAAGCAGCAAAGACAGCACGCGAGTCTTTGGAGCTGTCGTTCCAGATGTCCAACATCCTCGACACAGGGCTGGACCGTCACACGCTCTCGGTTCCGATAGCCCTCTGCGACCTCGGATTGAACCCCGAGGCACTGGCTGCTGTTGTGAAGGAACTGTGCACAGAAGCGCTGTCTTCTTCTCCACCCCCACCTCCCGCATCATCATCTTGAGCGTGTCGTTTTCACATCAGGGAAATCCAAGGCTGTTTGTTGCAACTAAACAAATCTAAGTGGTAGAAGCTAAAATAAATAGAATGTCCATGTGGAATGTAAAATTACTATTTCATACCCGCCGTTAAGTTTTTGGATGGAAAAGGTGACGATGCAACAAACATTGAATTTAAGTGTTTTAGTTGCAACTAAACAAATTTAAGTGGTTAACGTGCAACCAAACCAAAACTTAAGTGGCATGGCATGCAATTAACCCCCCTAAATAGCAATAAACCTATCTTTCTTCCTTCCCTCCTCTTTTACCCCAACCCAAGCAAAAGCAAGCAAGCAAGCTGCCTTCTCTACCATTAGGCGTCCTCCTTCCAACGCATTAACTTCTTTTCACCAAGATGGTATATAGACAGAAACTCCTTTCTCCACCCTTGGGAAGGAACCAACTTTGTTTGCTTTCCTGATTCCTTATGGAAACTCAAACACAACATAACAACAGCTTTTGAGGGAGTGATGGGCAACAACGTGCAATAAAGAAACCGTGTCCATCCACCCAACCAATGGTGGTTTAATGCATTTAGAAAGCTCGCTCTCTCTCTATGTATATCTTCCACCATTCATTCATGCCTTCTTCTCCAAGCTCACAGCTCCTCCTCTTGCGCCCTTTTCCAAACTGCGAGCCTCCAGTCTCTTTTCTCTTGTTGAGTTCTTGGTCCTCGAAAAAAAAAAAAGAAAAAAAATGCATTTCTTAACCGCCGCGAGGAGCATGCTTTGCCTTTCCTCTCTTCTACTCGTGCTTCCTTGTCTCTTGGGCCAAGCAGCAGGAGGCAGGCTTCTGGAGCATTGTGGGTTCACCGCCATCTACTGCTTCGGAGACTCCACGTTCGACAGCGGGAACGCCCTGGCCGAGTTCCCCGGCGGGCCCATGGGCCGATTCCCTTACGGCGTCACCATCCATCGTGCTACGGGCCGCTTCTCCGATGGCTACACCATCATCGACCGCATAGCCGAGGCGGCCGGGGTTCCTCCCCTGAACCCGTATTTGAAGAGAGACGTGGAGCACTCCAATGGAGCCAACTTCGCGGTGGGAGGAGTGGGGCTTTTGTCCAAGGAAGCTCGAGCCAAATGGCACGTCAAGTTGCCCTTCTCCAATAGCAGCGTGGACATCCAGCTCAAGTGGTTCGACCGGCACCTCAACCAGGCCTACAGAAATCAAACCGGTTTGGTTTTTCTTTTTAATTTACTCTACCATTGTTTAGTGTTGTGGAATGCTGGTAGGAGTGTCCGAATTCGGTTTTTCGGGTTTACCTGAAACCGACCCGTTTCGATACAATTTCGGTTTTTTGGTTCGGGTTCGGTTTTGCTAATCGGTTTTTCGGGTTTCGGCTGAAAACCTCCAAAAAATAGCACTCAGTCCGTATTCCCAAGTATTCGGGTTTCGATTTTGCTTTAACCGAACCCGAACCCGATAAGGAATTTTCGGGTTTCGGGTAACCGAAAACCAAAAGTTCTTATCGGATTCGATTTTCAGTGATATGGGTTTTGGGTTTTGAGTTTTGTCGGATTTCGGTTCGGGTAACCGAACCCGACCCGAATGGACACCCCTAGCTGGCATTGGGAGATTAATTAATTACCTCGCTCGTGAATTAATTTGTACATGGGTTATATGCAGCCCGTCGGGAGCGCGTGGAATCATCACTGTTGGTGCTTGGTGGAGCCGGCAACGACTACGCCAACATAAACCTCAAACTCAGCTCTCTCCCTCGGGTCGACCAAATGAAGCGAATCATGCCCGATCTCTTGGCAGCCACTCAGGCTTACGTCAAGGTGACAAATGGGGAAAAAAAAAAAACATTTGTATATCGTGGCAGTTAGAAATAACACTTGTTTAATTCATTCGTTTTGGTTGAGGTACAGAAGCTGATAACTGAGTATGGAGCGAGGAAGGTGGTGGTGCCTGGAATCTTCAAAGTTGGATGCATGGTGATGAGTAGTGGAGTTCACTGCGACAACAACCTCAGTTCGGTGGCTGCACTTCACAACCAATTGCTTCAACAGGAGCTGGAGAGGCTGCGGGAGGAGTTCCCCGGCGTGAGAATTGTCTACGGGGACATGTGGGGAGCAACGGAGTGGCTTTTCGACCATTTTCGGGCAGCAGGTGATCAGCTAGCTGAAGCCTGAAGCACTTGATTGTAAAATTATTTTAATGACCGATCAGCTATGAAATCGATCGATACATATGTTTTTTTTTTCTGCAGGGATCCACCATCCCAACGAGAGATGCTGCGGGAATTCTTCCATCAGGTGTGGGATGCCTGGGGCACCATACTGCGGAAACCCTAGCGATTATATAAATTGGGATGACAACCATTCCACCGACCACGCGTACCGGATAATGTCCGACTTTCTCATCCCCCAATTGGCCGCCGGGCTTGGATGTGGAGCCAACAACGACAAGGGAGATAGCAGCAGCAGCTCCTCCGCATCAGCAGCAGGATTATTTGGATCTCTAGTGCCACCATTCCGTATCTTTACAACTCTTTTGCTTCTGTTCCTTCTCCTCTCTGCTTAGAACAATTTCGTAGGGATCTTTTATGAATGAATGGTTGTATTTATCGGAATTAATTAAGCACGTAAATTTAGCAAAATGGATGTATTGTATTTCCGACCTAGTTCAGAAAGTCTCTAGCTACTGGTTTCAAACTCACAATTTATATAGGTTTCCTAGTAATCATCCAAGTGTCACTTTTTTTGTTATAATTATCATAGCGCGCACTTCGAGATGACAAATCATCCACTATACTAGCGAAATCAGCGAGAAATTAAGTTACAAGGGACGACTTGAAGCCGTGAAAACCAACCCAACAAGCCGTGTCCCTCCATCACAAATCTCCAACTCAACTTCTAATCACAAACTTCTATCATGCTTTAAAGTGACAAGGGCATCAATATCAATATCAAGACGATCACAAGTTCAACTTTGGCGCGAGAGGAGCGTATGGTTCAGTCACTAGAAGTCAAGTCAATGCATTCAAGGTCGACTTCAAACTTATTTGGCTCAGAACTTCACCAATATGGAGGCCAAGCAGTTCGTGGGACGAGAAGTGATGGCGACTCAAGTTGAGGCTGTCTCAGGTCAAATCCACGGTTTGGAGGTTGAAATCCACGACCGTGGAAATGGATTTGCGACCGTGGATTCTTTCCAGGGGAATTCCACGGCCTGAAGACACAAATCCACGACTGTGGATTTTGAGGGGCAGGGAGTGGATTTTGACCTACTGCGGGTTGTTTTTGTTTCCTTTGCGGATTAAGTGACTTATGGACCAAAACCCGAGTTTCTTTGTTATTTTTGGCTCAGAACCTATGTAGCCTATATAAGGGGCTGAACTCATGGTAAAGGAAACCGGATCGTACCGCCCGGTTCAACCGGTAAAACCGGGAATCCGACCAGCGTCGAAACGATACCCTACCAGCCTCCTTTCTACCGCGCCGGCCGATTTAATCGGCTTAACCGGCATGAACCGGTATACCGCGCGGTTTAAATCAGACCGGCGGTAATAAAAATGTGGTAAACGTCGCCGTTTCAGGTGGCAAAATTGGGGAAAAAAAAATTAATCGACGAAATGACTGTACTAACTGCTAACCCTAATTGATTCTTTCTCTTCGACCTTCGACCTCCAAGCTCCAAGCCTCCAACTTTCACTCTGCCGCCTCCTTTCCCAAGACCAGATCGCCGCTGCCTGGCGTTTTCCCTGCCAGTCTGCCTGCTCGTGACGGAGAGGCCGGCCGCCGATCGATCTTCAGACTCCAGCGCAGTCCAGCGAGTCGGCGTCTCGGCGACCGCCTGCTCGTGCTCGACAGCTCCGTGAATAGGAGAACGCGCCGGCCGCCTGTCCTTCGTCTTCTCCAGCAGTCCGGCGACTGGGCGACCGATGAGCCTGCCGCCGCCCAAGCCTCCCTCTTCGCCGCGCCGACCCTCCATCTCTGCCCCGCCGACCCTCCCTCTGCGCCGCGCCAACCCTGTCCCTGCCGCGGTTGCATGCAGGCTGCGACGGTGGTTCCGAACATCCCTAGGCCACCGCTGCCCTCTTCTTCCTTCTCCCATTCATTCTGTCACCGTTTCAGACCTCAGCTCCCTCACTTCGCAATTGAGTGGCATTTTCATCTCTAAATCTGCCTTCTCCGTCCGGCCCTTCAAGATGGCTCTCCGGCCCGTTGTCGCCCGTCAGTCTGCCATTCGTGCTTCGGTCTGAGTAGATGGGAAAAGAGGAAATGGTAAATTGATTCTGATTGATTTTTGTTTGGGTGAGAGAGAGAGAGAGAGAGAAAGAGGAGGAAGAATGGAAGATGAGAAAAGATGGGGAAAAGCTGCACGCGGAGGAGTAACCAAGGAAGATGACAAGTGATGGGGAAGTTTCAAAAGAAAATATTATTTTTAAAATTTTCTATTAATTTGCTAATTAGTTGTATATATTGTCCGGTATATTCCGATACATATGGTATTACTCCGAGACAATACTCTGATTTTGGCAGCACGGTTTTTTGACAGAAAATATATTTTATTACTACAAAACGGTATTTACCGGTATGAAACGGTTGAACCACTGTCGTACCACAAAATACCCTACCAGAAAGAAATCCGGTGTGATGTCCGGTACGGTTTCCTTTACCATGGCTGAACTAAGTATTTTAGAGGGTAATTGACACGCTAAAACACAACACCAAACTGCGACCAAGTGTAATCGCAGAATGGGACTGCAGTATAGTGGCACAAGTAATAAATATCGAATCCACGGGTCTCTAGAGTTACTATTACTCAGCTTCAGTTCATTATCTAGCAAACTAGATTAAGGATTGATCAACTAAACTACTCTACTAACTAAACTAGGTAAAACTACTAATTACAGTTTGGGAACTCACTTAGGTATGATTCCCCCTAGCCCCTCAATTAGGTCCAAGTTGTAATTCCTTTTGGTTGTTTTACTGTTGATTACACTGCGGAAGATCCGACAGTAGCTTGGAATCTCTTAAGCTGACCAAGCCCTCTCAGTCTAACTACCCGGCAGGCGACTAACCTTCACCGGGGTAGAAAGCTGAAGCAGTAAGAACAGAACTCCACTACTGGAATTAGATTCCAGTACAAAGCAGTAAACTGGCTAACTCTCGTATAGCCAATCTCTTACTATCGAATGATGAGGCTCTAGCAACCTAATCAGATTCTATCTATCTCAGGTTGCAGCAGAAATCAGGAAAAGTTGATCAGACTTCAATTGACTCAACAAACATGCATCATTCGATTATAATCAAACAATATAGCATCCAAAACTTCATACAAGAAAGATCCTAGCTCATGAAACTAGGGTTCCTCAAAACCTAAGTGAAGGGAAGTTACTCCATAGAGAAGAGAGAGACTGCAGAAATTTGATCTAGATCTTCAATCTCCATCTCCAAGCTTGATTCCCGAGCTCCAATGGCGAAGAAATCCTCCAAAATAGCTCCAAGAATGTCTCCAAGTCGCTCTCTCTCTCTAGGGTTCGTCCCTTGGGTGTTTGGGATCCAAAACCCAGCTCCCCTCTTCTGTTGCTCGAATCTGCCTTCAAAAACCCGACTCTGGGCGAATTACGGGCAGAATTACGGCCGTAATCACGTCCTGCCCGTAATTCGCACCAAAACGCGCGTTTCACTTAAGCTGCAGGAGGAGAAGTTACGCCCGTAATTTCCCAATTACCGCCAGTAATTTGGGAATTACGGCCGTAATTCTTGGGGTCTTGCCCGTAATTTTATCACCGCGAGGGAATTCTGGGTAGAAGGCTCGGCCAATAAATTACGGGCATGCCCTGGCCAATTACGGCCGTAATTAGGCAGGGGCTGCCCGTAATTCTCTCTGTGCTTCTGTTCAAAGCTTCGTTTCTCCCTCGTCCGGACTCCAAATCAGTCGCCGTTTGAACCCAGACGCTCGTAGTCTCGTCCTCTTTCTTTTCATGACAAGCTTGCATGATTCTTTGTCCATAAAGTGAGGTAGAAATCCATTCTTCTTCAGGTCTTACCCGAGTTTCTTCTCCCGAATCGTCAATTGATCTCTGATTGACCCGAAACTTGCTCCCAAGCCTCCATTCACGTACTAGGACCTGAAATATCACAAACAAGCACAACCTAGCGTGAAATCGGCCTAAAACACGAGAAATCACATCTCAAACGGTGTAAGAACAGGGGTAAAAACATGTGTAATTATCGGTCTATCAAACTCCCCCACACTTAACCGTTTGCTTGTCCCCAAGCAAACCTAACTCAAACCAATGCAGCTCTCCAGACCTCTATATCAACATACAACCTCGATCTTCGGTAGAGGATTTCCTAGATCATATAGCAGCTTACGAGGTCAACTGGTCTTCTAAGACGTTCCCTATCTCTCTCAATGCGAGTACTAGACTCAAGCCATGATCATGAGAAAAAGTAGAAGTAAGAAAGTCAGTTCATGGATAAAGGGACTCACACCATTCACAACCAAGGACTCGTTGTACCGGGGTGCTCTTTCACTTCATTTCACCGTTGGAACCCCTTTTTCTCACTTTCATTTACATTTTTTCTTTCATTTGGTGGGGTTCCAACTGCAGTCTTTTGCACGGTCGACCCTTATTAGTCGAGCAAGAGCAATTTCTGTACATCTGGCGCTCGCCAGAGTACTTCTTTTAACTCCTTTTCCTCAACTCGTGTGGAGGGTCAATGAAATCAAGGGGGGTCGGAAGCTCTATCCGTGCCCTTAAAAACACATCCTCGAGTAGGCAAACCGCTCAACGGGCGGAAGTTTTACTTGTACTAGAGACAGCTTAGCTTCACCTTGTAGGAGTACCCCACTAAGGATCACTAAAATCTCTTCCAAAACCCGATTTTGTGCAATGAACGGTGCCACACACGTTGGGCTTACCCCATGTTTAAGATTTTTGATGATTTCGACATGGAGGACCACTGCTTTTCATTTGCCACATGAGCACCCTGTTCAATACACGAGTCCATAACACAATTCAAACAGAGTCCACATTACCACATGAATTCAACGGTCTTAGCTCCACTAATTCACAAAATCAACTGACACAGCAGAGAGCTAGATAGGAAAAATCTTATACTTCAACATCCTCCATAGTGCTACACTACCTCCCTAGGTTGCACATTACTATAGAGACTGTCAATTCAAAGCATACTGAGCAGGCAATTTGCATGGAAACACGTACTTGGAGCCCTCAAATCGAAATTTGGACAGTGGACTAGGCTCCAAGCACACAAACAGCCAAACATTCACCCGCATACATAATCGAACACCCCCCCACACTTAAGCACGACATTGTCCTCAATGGAGGAAAGATAAGGAGGGTAGAACGAAGTTACCAGATCAAGGGTGAATGATGATGGACGGGGCAGGCGGTGCATTCCAGGAAGAGAGAGTAATCAGAACACAAACACCACACAAAATCTCACAAAGGTTGAGTTATTGACTCTAAAATCAAATAACAAAACTGACTCAACCGAGGAGAAATAGAGAAAGAAATGCAAACCGACTGGTTGGGTTGCCTCCCAACAAGCGCTTCTTTCACGTCGTGAGCCGGACGATGGCTCCTAAGTTTCGGTCCATGCTAGAACCTCCTTGAAGTTGAGGTTCTCGTCGATGAGGTGGAGTCTCAAGTCACGAGCATGTGGTGTGGCGGGTGAT